TGCCTTCACCATAAGATCGGTGATTGGCTCATTTCGCTGTCAATCAAAAAGAAATTCAGCCTCAGACAGATCATCCAATCATCATGAAGAAAAGCTGAGCTTCCTGGCCAGTCTATAAACGCCCACTGTCCATAGACTCCCAGAGATGCTGAGCGTCCAATGGGCGGGACAAAACCAGCATTTATCCAATGACTCATCTCATTTCAATGCATTGGGACAACCTACACTGAACTCTGTAGACACCCAGCGTCCGCGCGGTCGATGCTCAGCGTCCACACAGCACAGTGAAGCTGCGGGAATGAATGAGAAGAGAGTCGCGTCGTAACCAGTAATAAGAAGCTGATTCGGAATAAAAGCTGAGCGCGTTGTAGCGCATATTTAGTCAAAAACATGTCCACACAATTGTACGTACACACGGATCCCTTACTTTTTGACATTTTAGGGGAAGCTGACCTTCCCTTGCAGTCTTAGAGCAATCGCCTCTGCATTGTAAATATAGTTCAGTATTGTATAATAACTGCAAAAAATAAAGCTGACAATCAAGTACAGACTACAACTTTATTGTTTCACATACAGCACATTTGAAATGTCTTCCCTCTCACATTTTTTTGCTTTTTTTTTTTTTTTTTTTTTTAAATAAATCCTACTTCACGGATTTCAATTATCACGGGTTCTTTTTGGAACGTAAGCCCCGCTGTATGCTGTGTATATATATACCGGTATATGTATACACACACACACACACACACACACACACACACACACACACACACACACACACTTGTTAATCCCTCGTTTTTTGCGGTTAATTGGTACCGGACCCACCTAAGAATTTCTCTCCGACAGAATGAACTACGCTCGTACTGCAGTAACAAGCAGGTACGAAACACAAAGACAAGACATATAAGTGTCAAAAGACTTTCCATCATGCAAGGGTACCGTTATGCTGTAATACCACCCAATGACAGCTGCGCGACAACGTGGAGGGTCATCGAGCTGAGATAAAGTGATCAGTGGTGCTGTACTTAGAACGCTGATGATGTGGTTGTGCAGCTGATGCAGATAATTCTTGCACCACTTTTAAGTGACCGGTAGTAGTAAGTGTAATGCAACTTTGGATGTGCAAATATGCAGAAAGTCCTTGCGTGCTTCAAAGTAACTAATGATGTGGAATATTGATCAACAACAGTTGTTCAAGTATGAAGAGAGCTGAAGTTACAATGTAGTTACAGTGTTCGACAGGGATGGGAACACGGTGGTGACGTCCGCCTCATAGGGTTTGATTCCGGCACCTGCCTTCGTGTATGGAGTTTGTATGTTTCCCCGCTTCCTGCGCGGGCTTTCTCCGGGTACTCCAGTTTCCTCCCACATTCCCAAAACATGCATGGCAGGTTAATGGAACACTATATCACAGGTATCAAAGTCAAGGCCTGGGGGCCAGATCCAGCCTGCTACATCATTTTATGTGGCCCGCGAAAGAAAATCATGTGTGTCAACTTGCATGATTCTTGCTAAAATCTGGACTGAAATGTCAAATTGTCATGTGTAATAAATGATGTTGAGATTTTGCAATAATTCTGTTACCCTGTTTACACTAACTTCAACAATAACGGAACAAACAACTAACCAAAAGATGTTTTTAAGACATGTTACCAGGAAGCAGAGACAGCTCCGATGAAGGCTGAAGAGACAGCTGAAACTGTCAGCCAGGTAAGAGTTGAAGAGAAACTTTACCAAAAAAGACCACTGTATGGAAAAAAAGAACGTTTAAACCTAATTTAACAAACAAATACTTGACTTGAGTGATTTCAAAACTAGTAATCCATCAATTGGTTGTGTACAAGTTCTGTGAAGTGATGATTAAACATTTATTCGGTTTCACTGTCGTAACGGCCCACCGAGGGAAAACATAACTCCAAAGTGGCCCTTGAGAAAAATGAGTTTGTCTATTGGGGTGTTCACACGACAACTTTTACACCGGTGTAGCCCTGGGGCTACCCCCCGTAGAGCGTTCACACGTACAAACTTATTCCGGTGTAGCCCCTGAAAAAAGTTTAAACAAAGCAAATTTAACCCTGCTCAGGAGGTGGTTTAAAAATTTACTCCAGAGTAAATGCTAGTTTGCGGGGCAGCACCGGTATAAAATGGGACGTGTGAACGCTACAGGGGTAGACTCACTTTGCGTGAGAAGAGTTGATTACATACGGGTGGAATGCGTTGGTTTCGTGCTCTGTTGTTCTCCCGTCATCTTTCCTTTCTCTCTCTCATCCTTTTATGGTGTCTGATTAGACCGCGTTGATTTGTCTGGAGAAGTATAAACCATGGTTTTTCGATATGTCACAAACAACCCGGGGAAAAGGAAGTACACTTTACTCATTTGCCTGTTTTATTTCCGTATTATTATATCGTATTGCACGGCCGCAGAAACTGCTGTGTGAACCCAAGTGGGGCTGCACCATGGTTAACACTCTTCTCTTTAGTAAGCAGCTTTATACGTGTGAACGCTCCACAAAATTTACACCGGTGTAGAATATATCACAACATAATACATCGGTGCAGCACCAATGGAAATGTGTGCCGTGTGAACACCGCTTATGTGTGCCCTGCAATTGACTGACAACCAGTTCAGGATGTACCCGCTGCCTGAAATCAGCTGGGTTAGGCTCCAGCATTCCACCAATGGTCCAAAGAGTTGCCTTATCTAGTGATACAATCAACGTGCTGCTTATATTATGTGGCACATTACACGCACACACACACACACACACACACACACACACACACACACACACACACACACACACACACACAAATAAATACCTCTTGTGCCCATGTTGACAACTTCACTTCTGTGAAGCTTGAAAATCGCAGATCTTGACCCATTTTGGCTGTAAAGTCATGGCTGTAGAAACTCAACGTGGCAGTTATATTTTGTAAATGTTCCAGATTGTTATGTCAGAATGGCTTGCTTAGTTACACATGTTCAGAAATAAGCAACTACAAAAAAAGATTTGGTTGCTTCATTTCACAGTTTTTGAATGATAATGCACTCAAACGACCAGCTACTTGCATGCAAGAAATTAAAAATGACACTATTTCCTATGTCCCTTTTAGAGGTTCAGCACTCAAACTGAGTATTTCATCAGCCTTGAAAACATTGTTTTCCCCAGTTCTTTCTTGTTGTCACATTAATATCTCAAAATTGCATTAACGTTTGCAAAACAAATTTTTAAGTCTTTGGCTTTTAATGAATTTATTTTAAAAGGTGTTGTCTGCTTTTCTGAGATCTGTAGAATTATCGTTTCGATTCAATCATGCTTGCTTGCTTTGTTTTTCTGCTTTGCGCCCGTGGCTAACTTAACTTCCTGTTCACAATGGGCAGTGCAAACGCTCGCTGGCGTAGCGTTTAAACAACATGGGCAAAAGTTATAAAGTTAAGACTTGCAAGTGCAGTGGTGTCCATGCTTATATTTTTAGACACGGTAAAAGCAGAAGGCGGGCACATCAAAACAAAAGATTGCATTGTACTGTACTACCTTCAAATTCCCAAACACACACAAGCAATTTGCAATGCCTGCCGTCGAGGCTAATGGTTTATTTCACACAGTTATTTTTGAAAGCACTGAGACCTGGCAAAGATCCAATTGTTGCCACTATCCACTCTTTCCCCCCAAAATAGATAGCTCACTGTGTGCAGATTCTGGGAGAAAATACAGGCTTGTTTACTCCGCTATTGAAAGTGCATCAGCCTGGCAACCTCTCTGCTCTGTGCGCAACATCACAGGCAGTACAACTCCAGAACATCAGGCATCAGGGGGAATCTGTCAAAAGAAGAAATGGTGTGCTGCGCTCTCAAATTCCAAGCAAAATGACGAGCAATGTAGAGCAGCCGTGGGCAACAAGATGCAAATTACATCATGGAGACAACAGTCTCTGATCCAGACTCAGTTCCCATTCAGTGAGGTGTGTGAATATGAACAGTTGTCTGGCTCTGTACACAATGTGAGATTGAGACAGGCAGCGAAACACTAAACAGTTTCAGCGGCAGAGAAAACTGGATGGTTGAGATGCGTTGTTCTTGAAACTGAAGCACAGTTCAAGTAAAAGTGACATCATTATGAAATATGTATTGAAGGAAAAGCAATTTTAAAGAAACATAACATTCTTAACTATCATTAAAAAAAAAAAAAAAACCCTTAACTACTGACATGAGATGTGATGTTGGATATGATGCATACAACACATGGCCCAAAAGAAGACAGTCATTACAAGATGAGAGGGAGGAACGAAAGGGATAGCATTTGTGGGTTGAGGCTGAAGAGAGAACATTTCTTCTGACAGAACGTGACCTTTGGTGATTTCCGCGAAGCATATGAAGAACCTACAGGCTCATTCTGCATCACCGACAAACATATCCACGTGAAAGAGAACAGCTCAAAAATGAAGATGTGATTACTTGGTGTAAAAATGGTAAATGACAAGGTCAGCCAGAAAAAAAGTCGTGTAAAAGTCAATTTCTTGTGCTAATATTGAATACCAGAAAAATGGGTACGCTGACAAAAAGCTACTAACACCGCTAAATACTGGATTTACCGTCAAGGGGTTCGGAGTGTGTGTGAGGAGGGAGCGTGGGGGGAATGGGCAATCTAAATGAACAGGCAATTTTCTGGTAGGCCAGGCTGCTATCGACTGCTCGGGGAAGGCACATTAATTTCTTACGGCCCGCAGATCTATTTTAAAATCAGCAAATGAAGAAGTGCCTTCGCCACATTTAGATCTATTATCATCTTAGCGTCTGAATGTACAACGAACACATTAATTGGGACTGGCAGGTCGTATCAGAAGTGGGCACTTTCCAAAATATAATAACATCATGTTATTTTAAACGTGCTTCCGTCATCGCTTCAGGCTGTATTTTCTTTCTTTCTTTTTTTTTTTCCTGAGAAAAACCAAGCCTGCCGTGCGATTGGCTGGCAACCGGTTCAGGGTGTCCCCCGCCCACTGCCGAAGACAGCTGGAATAGGCTCCAGCACCCCCCGCGACCCTAGTGAGGATAAAGTGGTTTGGAAAATGAATGAATTAATGAATGAAAAACCAAGGCTGAACATGAGAGGTCGTCATCCCCAAAATTTTCATACCCTCATTGTGGGTAGGGCTGCAAAGATTAGTTGACTAGTCATGACAATGTCGACAATTAATTTAATTGTTGACTCAACTCAAGTAAGCTCAACGGTATTTATAGAGCACTTTAAAACAACCACCTCTGTAGATAAAGTTTTGTACATAGAGCAAAAATAAGTCATAGAACAGTAGCAGTATCTGTCATCTGGGTCATCTGTTTTTCTTTTCAATTTAAAATGTCTTACCCTAACCAGAATTGGGTGTCACATTGTAGCCAAAGGTACAATCCTGGCTGGTCAATGTGCCAAAAGGAGCAAAGTAAACCCTTGTCATGAAAGTAAATCCTTGTTGTTGTCACATTTTGCATGATGGTGGAGGACCCCAAAAAGCAGGCAGGAGGGAGGAACAGCTTGTACTTGGCGAGTTGTATTGATGAAAACACAGAGAAAACTAAATCCTAAACAAACAAAGTCCTGAAAACAAAAAGAAACCAAAGTAGCAAACCAAAAAGCATGACTGAAGCAAAAAACTATCAGTAACAGAAACATGACCAAAAACATGACAGGAACAAACATGACAGCAACAAACAAACAATGACACAACACTGAGTGGTCGTGCCGGGAGTCCTTAATAAAGGCCAAATGTGAAGTAAAATTGGCCAACCATGTTTTTGAGTAATATCAATGGCTGAGCAATTATAAGCATATTTCCGTTGTTTTTTTTAACGCAACCCTTCCAGATTCTTTGTTTAACCCATAGCAACGCCCTTGACAACAAAAATGCTTTTCTTCGGCAATCTTCGGAAATGACGTCACATGGAGAACGGTGAGGGAAGTCCTTCCATTGAACAGCATTGTTGCATTGCTTGTTGGTAAGATGCCATGGCGGTGTGTGGCGATGTATTGTTCGCAATCGACAGAAAAGTTGTACCAGTGGCCGAAGGATAGCAGGGCACTTAAATGGACATCTTTTATTTGCACGAAGCGAATGAATTTCACGCCATCATCGACGAGTGTTCTCTGCCATCTCCACTTCAAAGATGACTGCTTTCTCAACCAGTCTGCTAATGATCAAGGATTTGCAAAAACGTAAGCGTGATTTTTGGATAGATGATGATGATTTTGTCAAAGCATAGCTGCCAACTCTTGTGGAATGAACAATAGCATAGCTGCTAGGTCCTATTTAGCTGACAGAACCTTTTGTGTCAGCCTTGGCTGCTCTGAGTCACGCACTGCTCCCCTGTCATGTGGTGTTCTACAGGGCTCAATTCTGGGGCCTCTGCTGTTCTCGCTGTATCTGCTCCCATTGGGTTCCATCTTAAGGAAACATGGTATTCCCTTCCACTGCTATGCAGATGACTGCCAGATCTATGTCCCACTGAGCAAAAAAGACACCTTCTCATTAAGGCCACTTCTATCCTGCCTAGAAGAAATCAAAACCTGGATGGCACAAAATTTCTTGACTTTCAATGAAAAGAAGACAGAGGTGACACTGTTTGGTCCCAGTGGCCCTTGTACATCCCATCCT